TTGGCTTATGTGAAAAGTTCCCTAAAAGATATTTTCCAAGATTATCTTAGCTATTGTCTTTATACCTCAGGGCCCCGTTGATGTGTCCTTGTGAGCCCAGCTCTGGCTGGGTCACATTCTCTATGCTCAAGGAGCATATTATTTCCTAAATCAATATTATTTCCTAAATCATGTCTCAGAAATGATATTTACAGGATGTTTTTAAAAAGCAGACTGTGTTCCAAAGCAATTGCACCATTTTACATTCCCACCAGCAATGTATGAGGGTCCCAATTTCTCCACATCCTCACCAACACTTGTTATTATCTCTCTTTTTTTTATGTATTTCTTGAGTGTTTTTCAATCCTCGATTCCCCCCTGCCTCTCTTTTATTGTCCTTGTGACTTTGTCGTTATGTTGAAAAAACCAGGTTATTTGCTCCATAGAGGGTCCCACAGTTTGGTTTTTGCTGATTGCATCCCTGTGTCGTCTTTTAACATCCTGTATTCCCTGTAAACTTGTATTTATATTCTAGAGGCTTGATTAGAATCAGACTTTACATTTTGTTTTGGCAAGACTACTTTGTATGTGGTGCTGTTTATGATTGTTGCGCTTCTTGCGACAAAAGTCTTTGACTGACATCACAGTCAGATCTCAGTGTGCGTTTCTCTCAGCATGAGTGAGGTGGACATCTTTTCTTTTGCTTAGGAGCTATTATTTGTATGGCTTATCTGACTGAACATATTCCTTTTTTTTTTTTTCCTAGTGGGTAGAAACTCTTTATCTATTAAGAATATTGGCTCTTTCCTGTCAGGTAACCTTCAATCACCTCCTCTCTGTCTGATCCCCACAGCAGGGCAGACTGTCACTTTTTACTTCTAGCTATAGCTGCCCTTCTCTTTTGTAGCTCTCCTCACCAATATCACTCCTTGTTTGTAGGATGCCTCCTTTATGTTATTTCTTACCACTGAGGACAGGAACCATGTCCGTCGGATACCCATATTCCCTATTGTCTCACAAGACTGGCACACAGTTAGTTGAAAGGACACTCCTACTCCATAAAGCACCATTTGTTTAAAGCTCACGGGACTGAGTCAGAGTGTTAAGCCCCAAGGAGCCTCACTGAGCCTGGTGGGAAAGTCTGGGACCAGGGCCAGTGAAAGCAGGTGGGTTAGAAGTAGGGGCATGATCACATGCAGGAAGTTTGTAAAGTGTGTGTTTGTAGAGCAGGATCCCTTGAGCTGAGCTGTGAATAGGAAGGAGCCAGCAGTTCCAATAGCTGATTGGGCAGATGCCATCCTGATGTTCTTCTCTCTGCCCACAGGACGGGACTCTGCCAGCCCCATCCAGACAACGCACACGGGGCAGGTGCAGGGGAGCCTTGTCCATGTGAAGGGCACCGAAGTGGGAGTCCACACCTTCCTGGGAATTCCCTTTGCCAAGTCGCCCTTGGGGCCACTGCGGTTTGCACCCCCTCAGCCCCCTGAACCGTGGAGTGGTGTGAGGGATAGGACTTCCCACCCAGCCATGTAAGCTCTCCCCTAGGGGTCCAGGGAACTCCAAGCTGCAGGGTGGGAGGTACTCTGAACTCTGGGTCAGCCTACAGTTGTCATCTCATCTAAACCCCTACAACAAGTTTGGTGGGTTTCTACCCCATTCTCCACACCCCTGCCCCACCCCGCCCCTGTAAGCTTGCTGAGGGTTAGAGTCACTGGCCCAGGTTCCTGGCTCAGAGCCTGGCACCTGAAGGGATTTAACCCCAGGTACTGAAGGGATGAGCAGAGACATGGATCTCCCATTTCTCTGGTTATACCAAGTATTCTCTGCCACCAGTGGGAGGTGTCTCTGGAGTGGCTTGGACTGGTTCTGTGAACTTTATAGGAGCCCCTGACCCCAGCAGCAAACACTGCAGATCCCTGAGGAGAGCAGCAGAGGTGGCTCCCTGAGGACCCTCACTCTCATTGTGCCAACCAGCAGGGCCAGATGCCATTGGCCCAGAGCTTGTTCAAAGCTTGTGGCCCATAACTTAGTGGTAAGGGACTTCAGGGAAGGACCATGTATAAGCAGGATATCGGAGAGGGGAGAGGGGCTGATGGTGGCTGGGAGCAAATGTGGGCCCAGGGTCTGATTCTGGCCACAGAACAGCCCCAGGACCAACTGTCTGCCATGGCCACCAGCTGTTTGCAGGATCATGCTACAATAGAAAAGATGATGCAGAACCTGTTGTATAGAACCCTGCCTTTCACCCACATGTCTGAAGACTGCCTGTACCTCAATGTCTACACACCTGCCCACACCCGCGAGGGCATCAACTTGCCTGTGAGTGCCAGCCATGGCCGACTACGGGTGTGGGAGGACACTTCTTTTGCAAGAAGATTTGAAAGGATAAGATCAGACTGGCCCACTGCAGCACAGACCCTGTTGGGAGGCCTCTCACCAGGAACCACCACTTTGATCATCAGGTTCAAGAGTGCTTCCTACCCATGGTAGCCATCTGACCCCAGGCATAGTGTCACAGACCTCCAGCTGCTCCTGGAGAAGCTATGGCCCTGGGATGGTGTCCAGGAGGCCCTCAGGTGCCCAAGGGCTGTACTTGGAGGTCGCCAGAGACCCCAGCCATGGGTCAGCTGTAGGGCCACATTTAATGAATGTGCCTGTGAGACAGTCAGGGAGATGACCCCTTTCATTCCTCCTTAGAGAGGGTTCTGGGAGAAATGGAGCCAGACTTTGATACATGGGGCAGGCCTCAAAGGATGGGAGGCCTGGTTGTTCTGATAGAACTTGGGTCACACTTGGCCCAGGTCATGAAGATGTGACCCTGTCTTGCTGGAGTTCTGTCTATGTGGGTAGGTGGACAAAATCAAAGCAGTGATTAGCCTAGGTAGAAGCCCTGGTGGAGTTTGGGTTGGGTGGGAGCCACGCAGTACCTATGCCTCAATTTCCCTGGGTGATGGTGTGGATCCACGGCGGTGGGCTCATGTTGGGCATGGCCTCTATGTATGATGGCTCTGCCTTGGTGGCCTTCGAGGATGTGGTGGTGGTCATTATCCAGTACTGCCTGGGTATCCTGGGTTTCTTCTGGTGAGGCTGGGGCTGGACTGGGCAATGTGGCTGAGCAGAGCCAGGATAGCCTTGTGATCCCTGTCCTTGTCACCTCTCAGCACTGGAGACAAGCATGCAACTGGCAACTGGGGCTACCTGGACCAAGTGGCTGCACTGCGCTGGGTCCAGCAGAAGATCGCCCATTTTGGAGGTGACCCTGGCCGTGTCACCATTTTTGGTGAGTCTGCAGGTGGCACAAGTGTGTCCTTACATGTCCTGTCCCCTATGTCCCAAGGACTCTTCCATGGTGCCATCATGGAGAGTGGTGTGGCCGTGCTGCCTGGCCTCATTGCCAGCTCATCTGACGTGGTCTCCACAGTGAGTGCCCCAATCATGGGGAGCCCAGACCTGCTGCATCATCCATTACCTCTCAGATCCTCCATTATTCCACCTGTTAAATGGGGATAACGAGGACTTCCCTGCCATCTGGATGCTTTGAGAACTTCCACCTACTCAGAGATTACTGAGGGGCTCAAGGGTCAGAATCCACAGGCCTCTACCATTGCAGACGCTGAGTGTGTTCTGTGGCCCACAAAGCTGCTGGCTTGAGGGCCCCCAGCAGAGGCAGAATCACCCAGGCTGGTGGATGGCCCCTCTGGCTGAGCCCTCTGAGCATCAGGGAATTTGAAAATTTTGAAACCACAGGAGCCCACACATAAAACCCTAGGAGATTTGAAGTGCACCTGCTCCCAGTAGGGGCCTTGGGCAAACCTTCCCCTACCTGGAAGGACAAGTCAGCCCCTGCCTGGTCCCTTTATAGATGGTGGCCAACCTGTCGGCCTGTGGCCAGGTGGACTCAGAGGCTCTGGTGAGCTGTCTGCGGGACAAGAGTGAAGAGGAGATTCTGGCCATCAACAAGGTGGGGCTGGATGGGCCAGGTGTGGAGGAGGTGGGGGGCTATAAGGTGCAGAGCAGGTAGGCCTAGGTACCCTTCATACTCCCCAGGCAAGTTACTCCATTTCCATGTCTTGATGTCCTCAGAGCCCTAGATGGGAACTCCAGACAAGGAAGTGCAGGTGTTGGACCTCCTGGGGTGGGTATGAGCATCCTGGGAGGAGCTAGGATGGTGTGGGATGCACCAACAGGTATCAGAAAACGTTCCAGGCCTTTTCTAGGTATTGAGCCTTGCTCCCTGACCTTGCATGCTCCTCAGCCCTTCAAGATCATCACAGGCATGGTGGACGGGGTCTTCCTCCCCAGGCACCCCCAGGAGTTGCTGGCCTTTGATGACTTTCAGCCTGTACCCAGTATCATCGGTGTCAGCAATGATGAGTACGGCTGGCTTATCGCTACGGTGAGCCCCAGCCCCAAACCCCGGATGCCAGAGGAGCCCATCTGGTAGGGTGGCCTCAGGGCTTAGTAGCTTCAGACTCATCCTACCCCCAACTCAAGACTCTCCCCCACCCCAGAGCATAGGCATCTCTGATAACCAGGAAATGGAAAGACAGACCATACAGGCTATCCTGCGGAATATGTCAGCACTGACGGTGAGGGTCCTGGGGTCCAGCGCCAATGGGAAGGGGCTCCTTTCCTGTTCCATCCTGTAGATATCCTGCCCATGTGGCATCCCCCATGAGCAAATGTGTGTTTGTGCATGGGGTCACCGCAGAGCTTGGTCCCTTTCCCCGTTTCCTGTCCCACATATCCTCCACCCTGACACTGCTACCTCCCTGCCCCAGCAGTCTGCCTAACCGGACTCTTCCTGATCTACCTGGAATAGACAATGCCTCCTGAGGTTGGCGACCTGATGGGGGAACAGTAGTGACCCCCAGACCCTCTGAGCCCAGTTCCATGAGATGATGGGGGACTCCATTTTCGTGATTCCTGCCCTCCAAGTAGCAAATTTTCAGCATGAGTATGTCTGTAATAAAGGCCCAACTGGGAAGAGGACAGCTCAGAGCTGTGGATCTCAGGTAAGCTCTATTCTAAGAGACAGACATTCTCCCCATTTTACAGGTAAGGAGACTAGATTTAGTGATTTCAGTGACTTGCCCAAGACCACACAGCTAGGAAGTTCCGAGGACAGGATTTGAACCCAGGCCATTCCGACTGCCCCTGCTCCAGCATGAGGCTCCCCTACACCATTGTCCAGATTCCAGCCAGCCTTGAACTTAGGTATCTCATCACCATGGGTGACACAGGAAACCTCTAGCTGAGGGGCTGTCATATCACAGTCTCCCCACCCCACCCCCAGGTTCCCATGCCCCTGTCTACTTCTACGAGTTCCAGCATCAGCCTAGCTTCTTTAAGGACATCAAACCACCCTATGTGAAGGCAGACCATGGTGATGAGATTCTTTTTGTCTTCGGATCTTTCTCGTGGAACAGCTGCAGTGAGTCTTCCTGGGTGGGATCCCTTGGAGGCTCCATATTCCCCAAGAGGTGGAATGCAACCGTGACTGGGTAACTGAGGGGTGATTGCCTTCACTGTACAGATGATGAAACTGAGGCTCAGAGAGAGGACAGGATATGTGTTTCAAGATCTTACAGCTAAAAAGTCTGAGCCAGAATTGGATTACAAGACTCTGTGGACCCAGGGCCTGTGCTCCCTCTACCCCTCCCTACCCGAAGACGGGTTTCCACATGGGTACCGCAGAGGGATTTCAAAGGCATATTTGTGTCTTAAATGACTTTCCAGTGTCAGAAGGAAGAAAAGGACCTTCTGGGCCAGGAATGAGCCCAGTGTTGGGTCATCCAGAGCTGGGATAAGTTTACGAGGTTGGGGCAAGAGGAGGGCCTGGCTCCCCTGGGCTGTGGGGAGCAGGCAGACAGCCTGGCCTGCGGGGAGCAGGGTGTTCCAGACACAGCCAGGAGGAGCCAGGGGAAAGTTACACCTGGGATGGCAAGTGTGGTGGGGTGATCCAAATGTATGAACTGGCAGCTAGAATGGGGTCGACCCTGACCTGGGCCTTTGTCCTCTCTGCAGTTGAAATCACTGAGGAGGAGAAGCTGCTGAGCACGAAAGTGATGAAGTACTGGACCAACTTTGCTTGAAATGGGTGAGATGATGTACCCCTACCTCAACCTCCATGGGGGCTTGTACCCCATCCAGGGCTCCCCTTGTCTGTGGTGACCCCATTAGCATGCACGTGTCCTTAATTGCATGACAGCCCCTTCCCAAGTGCCAGGAACCACAGGGACAGAGAGGGGTGTTGTGGGTGCTGGGCACTTGTCCCATCTCGCAGTGACCTGGAGGGTGGGTAACAGTGCCATGTTACCACCAGAGCCTGACCAGGTTGCCCTGCCCCTCATGGAGCTGACACTCTAGTGGGAGGTGGTTTCTTTCCTATATCTGGAAAACTTCCCCCTCCTTCCTCAAGCCCACTTGGCCTGCTTCGTCACCGTGCTGACTGACCGCAGTAAGGCTGTCCGGGGCTAGGCTCAGCAGGGCTCACAGTGATCCTTGTACTGTCCTGCTGGTCTACAGGAACCCCAATGGCAAGGGTCTGCCCCACTGGCCCATGTTTGACCAGGAGGAGCAATACCTGCAGCTGAACATGCAGCCCACGGTGGGCCGGGCCCTAAAGGCCCATAGGCTCCCGTTCTGGACGAAGACCCTGCCCCAGAAGATCCAGGCACTAATGGAGGCCAAGGAGAAGCACACAGAGCTGTAGCTCCCTGGGTCCGGAGGTGGAGGATGGGCTTGAGAGCAGGTGGAGTCGGCCCAATGGGACCCCACACACACCCCAAGGAGCCAGAAGTTTATTCCTTCATTCACATGGCAGTTTTTTCATTCTTCAATCCATTCATTCAGCAAACATTTATTAAGAACCTACTGCATGCAGTTAGCCACCAACCCTGCCCTGGGTCCTCTCCCTCAAACGCCACTGGGCCTTGGGCCCCATCCTCCCTTCCACCCTCCCCCTCTCTCTCCTCTCCTCCAAGCCTCATGGCCTTCTCGTGCCTTAAAGGAGGATGCTTCTGGGTGCATCCCAGCTTCTGCAACAGGGTATCAGAAGCTCTCAGCAAGTTCACCTCTCAGCAAGCCCCACATGTTCTCATATCTGTAAGTAGCCAATAGAAAATGCAATACCAGGGGTCCTTGGAGCTCCGAGATCTCAGTCACCACGGTCACCAAGACTGTAAAAGTCACTGTCCCTATCTGTTGTCCCCTTAGATTAAATGTCTTCTATCACTGACATTGAAAACAACCCACCCACCCCCTTACATATGTCTGGAGACCGACCCCATTTTTGCAAGAAGCAGGACTGGGCTTGTCCGTGGGCCTCTGGAGCCTGGGCAGGCCACATGTGGCCAGGAGAGCCAGGCAGGTCCCAAAAACATGATTGTAGCACACGGTAAAGCTGTTTATCTGTGGGATGTTTCTTGGAAGTGGGATGAAGGGGTCAGAAGGCCCAGGCATATTGAGGAGAAGAGACCACTGTCCCCCAGATCCCTTGAGGGCCTCTCCAACCGGGGAGGTCTCCCCTTATCTTTCAGATTCCCCTTGCCAAACCCCCAGCCCCCTGACTTCACCCCTGCTCAGTGTGGGCATCCACATGACTAGTGTTCCTACTTACCTCATTGCTGCCCCTAAACTTTCTGTCCTCCCACTTCATCCCCAAAAATTAAAAAATAAAAAAAATCCTCTCGTATTTTATCTCAGCATACAAAGGTACCAAAACTGTGTTCAATCTGCCTTTGTTCCACCAAAACATTTTTTCTCTGTCATTAAGAGGCTACATCTCTTGTCCCATAAACCCTAGAACTTCCCCTGTGCCCCTACCTCTGACCAACTTGCCCTCTGTGGGCGCTAGTTTTCCCACAGGAAAAGTACCTGTTCTCTCTGTCCACAGCATGAAGCCCAAACTTAAGGCCTTGAAGTCTGGCGTGACAGTTGAAGATTCCTGTGTTGCCTACTCTGGCCACCAGATGGCAGATAAAGATAAACTTGAGGTTGGGGTGACTTGAACTCCTGAGAGAGAGGGGCTTTCCTTTCAGAGAACACTGGCTGGTGCAAAATGCTTCCACTGTTTGCTGCAATCATTTACTGAACACCTGCTGCATGCCTCTTTATCTTTTTCAGTCCTGCAGATGTAACAGTAACTTTCCAAAAATGGGTTCCTGGAACTTTTTAAAAGGCTTCTTAATAGTTATTTTTAAACAGCTTTATTGTGGAATGAGTGAATTACAATTAAAGTCACCCATTTTAGGTGTACAGTTTGATAAATTTGGGTAAATGGATACAGACGTACAACCACCACCACATCAAGTTTTAGAATGCTTCTTGGCTCCAAAGAGTTTCCTCGTGCCCCTTTGTCATCAATACCTGCCCCAGCTCCTGGCCCCAGCCAACCACTGCATTACTTTTTGTTGCTATAATTTGCCTTTTCTAGAATGCCATATAAATGGAATAATTTGTGATTGGCTTCTTTTACTTAGCATGATGTTTCTGAGATTCAACCAGTAGTTCTTTCCTTTTATTGCTGAGTGGTATTTTGTTGTATGGCTATGCTACATTGTGTTTACTCATTCACCAATTGTTGAACATTTGAGAGATTTCAATTTGGGGGCTATTTTGAATAAAGCCACTATTAATATTTTCAGACAGGTCTTTGTGTGGACATATGTTTTCATTTCTCTTGGGTAAATACCTAAGTGTGGAATTGCTGGGTCATATGGCAAGTGTATGTTTAACTTTTTATGAAAATATCAAACTCTTTTCCAAAGTGACTGTGCTACTTTGCATCCCCATCATCCATGTATGAGAGTTCCAGTTACTCCATATTGTAAAAATGGCATGCCATCAGACTTCCTTGTCTGACTTCACAAACGGCAGGAAAGAATCATTATCAGCCATCAGCCCAAGGCTGAGTCCTATGAGGTGGAGGTCAAACATACCTCTTTTCAACCTTTTTATCAACTCTGACACCAGCTGTCCCTTCCACAGCATTCTCTGCTGGGGTTTAATAATTCATTGGAATGGGCACATGGAACTCAGACATATTCACAATTATAGGGTTTATTAGGGAAGTGACAGGTACAACTCAGGATACAGTTCTTCGATCAGGACAGCTTCTACTCCGGCTGTGCTCACAGGGAGGCCTCTGCCACCGGGCCCTGCTTGGGCCTGGGTCCAGGTGCTCGGCCTCTAGAAAAAGGCTCCTCTCGGTTGTGCAGGGCTCCTCCCAAACCCCTCAGTCCCCTCAGGACAGGCTTCTTTCAGCTATCAGGACAGGCCTCCTCTCTTGGCCCTTAGCCCTCATCCCTCAGGCCAGCCTCTGCCCTGCTACAGCAAAGTGTTACACAGCTCTGTTAGCTCTGCTTAGAAGTGCCTGGAGGCACCCCACCCCAGCAGGAAGACTTCTGCTTGAAGGTGCTCAGCTTTATTGCTCTGTGGGTCAGCTAGCCCCTTGCTCTGTGGGCTGGGAAGCGCATCGCGCCATCTTGTGGCAGTCTCCTGGTTCTGTTGCTGCCATCTCTCTGCTGCGCTTGCCACTGCTTCTCATCATCTCATGCCTTCTCCACTGTTACAGGTCTGTCTCCTGGGTCTATGGGGTTCTCAGTGCAGCGACCCTGCGTCCAAAGGATACACTCCACTCCTGGCTTTTCTTTTTCTTGGTGGTAGTAAGGACAACCCTCTGCTCTAGAATTGGCTCTCTTTTTAAGCCTAGTAGGAGGCAAAACTGACCAATCCTCTCATTAGGGTTCAATACACCTTATTTCCATGGTCCCAGCCCCACAGGGTCCCATGCACCTTATTTGCTTGTTAGCAAGCTGTCCAATCCCCTTGGTGGGCCACAAGCAATTTATTTACATAGTCCCACCCAATCATTTTGTAGAAGTTACAAGACCATGGCAAGAAAGGCCATATAAAAGCAATTCAGCACATCAAACATATCCTCACCAACACTTTGTATTGTCAGTCTTTTAAATTTTATTCATTTTAATGGATGTGGAATGGTATCTAAGAGCCCTGGTGGTGCAGTGCATAAGTGCTCAGCTGCTAACTGAAAGGCCAGTAGTTCAAATCCACCAGCCGCTCTGCAGGATAAAGATGTGACAGTCTGCTTCTGTAAAGATTTACAGCCTTGGAAACCCTATGGGGCAGTTCTACTCTGTTTTATAGGGTCACAATGAGTCGGAAGAGAATCAACAGCAATGGGAATGATACCTCATTGTGGTTGGTTCCCTGGACTTTTAGCCTTTGCTTCCATCTTGATCAACTGAATAGCTAGATATGGGTAGACACACTTTTTTTTTTACTCACATACACATACAGATATGCTCCTAAGTCTTTTCTTCATTCCACATTTTTACTATTAACTTGGTCATCATCAGGGCCAGGCTCCCTAAACAATGGTGCAGTAAGGGGCAGAGTACATGAGAACCCTTACGCCAGTAGTCACAGGAAGAAACCTAAGGATTAGGAAGAAAGTACTTTATTGTTCAGTTAACATAGGGAGCTTTGTAATGAAATCCTGAGCTAGGAGGAACTGGGGACCTCTTAACACCCACAGAGCCCAGGTATTAATTAATTAGGTGATGAGAATTAAGGGCAGAGGTAACACTTGCCAAGGCAGGGCAGTGGGACAGGTGGCTTAGACTAGAGTGAGTTGAATGTGAGACATGGGCACTGAGTCAACAACTCGCCTTGCTGATTGGGTGAAAGTCAAGGACAACTCCTGGGAGAGGCTGGAAGAAGAGAAAATGGTGACAGCAAGTTGGGATGATTTTTACCTTGCTGTAAACAGGAGCAGAAGAATGAGGCAAAGACTGGAGAGCAAAGTTGCGCCAAGGGAGGTCGGTATAGGGTTGGGAGATTTGTTTGCAGCTGAAGGGAGAGATGCAGTAGAAGCTGTTACCTAAAGCAGGTTCTGCTCCGTGCGGCTTCTCCTCAATAAAGACACACTGAGGTGACGGGGGAGGAAGAGTGTTTATTGCAACCGTGCAGGCAAGGAGCAAGGAGGTATATACCTAAAATTAAGCTCCCCGAACAAAGGGAGGCAGAATCTTTTTTCTTTTTTTTAACTAATTAATTTATTTTTATTGTTGTAGTTTAAGTGAAAGTTTACAATTCAAGTCAGTCTCTCATACAAAAATTTATACATACACTGTTATGTGACCCCAGTTGCTCTCCCTATACTGTGACAGTACACTCCTCCTTTCCACGCCTGATTTCTTGTGTCCATTCAACCAGCTCCTAAACCTCTCTGCCTTCTCATCTCACCTCTGGACAGGAGCTGCCCATTTAGTCTCATATATCTACTTGAGCTAAGAAGCACACTCTTCACAAGTATCATTTTATGTTCCACAGTCCAGCCCAATCTTTGAAGAGTTGGCCTCCGGAATTGTTCTAATTCTGGGTTGACAGAGAGTCCAGGGGCCAGGGTTTCTGGGGTTCCTCCACTCTCACTCAGACCATTAAGTCTGATCTTTTTACTAGAATTTGAGTTCTGCAAACCACCTTTCTCCTGCTCCATCAGGGACTCTCTGTTGTGTTCCCTGTCAAGGCGGTCATTGGTGGTAGCCGGGCACCATCTAGTTCTTCTGGTCTCAGGCTGATGAAGTCTCTGGTTTATGTGCCCCTTTCTGTCTCTTGGGCTAATACTTTCCTTGTGTCTTTGATGTTCTTCCTTCTCCTTTACTCCAGGTGGTTGGGACCAACTGATTC